CAGAGAGACACCGTTGCTCTTGAGTACTTTAGAGAGGTCCCTAACAGCAGACTTTCCCATCGCAATATGCTTTTTTATTTCCTGACTGCTGGTACCAAGAGTGTTGACTGTGGAGCCGAGCAAACTGAAGCTGTGAACAATCTCAATCTCTTCACCATCCATCCTGATGCTACTGATTGGTCCAGTGGTGAGAATCTTTGTCTTCTTGACATTGAGCCTCAGTCCATACTGAAGGCTGGCAAAAGAACTATTTAAGAGCCCATTCGTAATCTTACCCTGTTAATAAGTGAATTTTCCTAAATGAGTTTTATTTTTTCTTTTTAATTTGGAACGAAATACCTCAGAGTCCGTCTCTTTCTCCTCTGTTACTAACTGTGCGTATCCAGATCCAGAAAGCCCCAAACCTGCAATTGTGGAGTGGATTTGGACTCATAGTAAACTGTAGTAAAGTAGAAAGGGAGTGGCCCTGCCCCAGAGGGGTTTGTGGGCTCTAAATCCTCATGACGTGACCAGCACATGATGACTAAAGCAAGGAGAGGCCCAGAGAGGTGTAGGAGGGTCAGTGGGAATCAGAAATACAGGAAACAGCTGGGGAAATAGTGATTCCATTGTGGGTATTGAAATGAATGTTGTGTAGGAATGGTTGAATGAAAAATTCTTTTGCTTTGTACATTTTCACTCAAATAATAACAGTTTTTAAAAGGAGAACACTTCTGGGGAGAAAAAATTCTTCTGAGAAGCAGCTGGTGGATGGAAAGCAGTGAGTGACCTTTTGGTTAGCAGCCCAATGCTTTGTACATGATGCCACCAGGACTTCTCAGATGAATAGGAAACAGAGTGGAAAGATCAAAGAAAGGATCCCCCCCCCCACGCCTCTTTTCAGATAGCTAAGACCTTATGGTGAATCTAATTGGAAATGTATATTAATTATTAATTACTCAATTAATGACTTAGCATAGTGCCTTGTGACTTGTTTTTGTTTGTGGTGATGAAAGGGGTTCTTACTGCGTCTGACTGCAGTTCAGACAGTGATCAGCACCATTTGGACCGGCCACTGTGTGGCTTTGTGGATGCTCTTAGGTGCCCTGGGTTGGTTCTTTTCACCCCACCTGAGCCATGCACTTCTCTCTTCAAAGGCCAGGCAGCCCTCCGCCTGAGCCTGCCTGCTGTGCTCAGCCCCACCTTCCCCCAGGGCAACCCAGCTTCTAAGTACAGCCTGGGAGAGCCAGCTATCATCTGCCATTAACATGATTGGATCATGGGTAGATTGGCTTTTGTTCCCTTATAATTGCTTTGCATTAGTGGCAATCTCTTAAATCCAACCCAACATCCTTCTGTCATTTTCTACTGAGTGTACATCTGCAAAATAAGGTTTGCTAAACTAGACAGAATAGACAGTGTTACAGGGAGAGTGTTTAAGCTACCTATGATAATAAACCATCCCATTACTTTAAAAGCATTCATTGTACAGATAGCAGCAATTCAAAGAACTGTTCCTCTTTAAACCAACCCCCTAAATCTCCCCATAGGATGCATTATTGGCTTAGTTATACTATAAACACAAAACAAATTAAATGCTACATCTTGTAATAATGTTATCTAATTGAGACAGTTTAAGCAGCTCTCAGTGTTTCTCCTCCACTCAGACCACATAAGTAAGATTTAATAATACTCTAAGGTCATTTTCAATTTTCATAGGTAATATTTTAATAGAAAAGATATTTCATTTTCTTCTAAAAAAATAAGCTTTCCAAAATACACCTATATTATTTGTCCTATCTAGATATTTTGCACTTTTGTGCATTTTTTTCCCCTAGCCATGAACATTTCCAGCTGTAGAGGAAATAAGAGACTTGATATATCTGGACAAACTAGAGTTTCATTTAAGAAAAAAAGAAAGAAAAGGCAAAGATTCTCAACTCAATAAGATTGCATTGTGCTTGTCCATAGGAGTGGGGATGACATACTAGGCTAGTAACCAAAAGGCCAGCAGTTCAAATCCACCAGCTCTTCTCCAGAGGAAGATACACCATCTCCTTTCAAAAGCATCAGAAATCCAATGGAGAATCCTGTCGAGTCAGAATTGACTCTATAGCCGTGTTTTGCTTTGTTTTTCCTTGAGATTGTTCATCTAGGAAATAGAATTGACCCTTGAACAAGTTCTCCAAGGAGAAGGTGAAAATAAGTAAGAGAGATACAGGCAGTGTTTGCTGCTTGGTGCATCCAGAACGTACAGGATATCAATTAAAACCTAAGAAACAGGTAGAAGCAGGATCCAGTGTGTGTGAGATATATATATATATATTTTTTAGCTCTAGCAAGGTATCTGTTCCCACCTGACGTAATGGGGTGTTGTTTTGAAATTGCTGTTTTCCAACTTCAGAGGATGAATACACCTTTCTTCCAGGAGGTTAATTTAGATAGAATTTGTTCCTGTGGGGGCCAGTTTGCATGGCGGCAGATGCTTTAAACTGAGGCTGCATATTTATATTGACTGCGTGGAGAGCTAGCTGGCAGCAGCCACGCCGCGGAGCTCATTTCTCAGATAATACTCCTCATCTACCATGCTTATCTGGCCAGATTTCACTCCTGTCACTTCGTGCCACCGCATTTATATTTTATTCCTCACCCATCCTGCAATGTATGGTCCATGGTGGTTTTTCCAAAAGGAAAGTTGCAGATATTTGGGGGGGCAGGGGGGGATATGTATAGAAAATGAAGATAAGAATTTGAATGGAAAATGACATAGTCATTAAACTTTATAGTCCATAAGAAAAGAATTTCAGATCTCTTAATTTTTGGCCCAACCTCTGAAATAGCAACTCCCTCTTTTGAAAGGAGTCCTGGTGATGGAGGAGGCTAAGTGCTGGACTAGCAAAGGAGAGGTCGGCAGTTTGAGCCCACAGCTCATCTACAGGGGAAAGAGGAGACAGTCAACTCCAGTTAAGATTTACAGCCTTTTGTGATTGACTTGTTTACATAAAACCATTACTATTAAAAGGGAGCTCTGGTCGCCTTGTGGGTGAGAGGTTGTGCTGCCAACCCAGGAGCAGGCAGTTCGAATCCACCAGCTGCTCCACGGAGGACAGATGGGCAATCTTCTCCCTACCTGTTTACAGCCTCTGAACCTGCTGTGAGTTGGTTCTGACTCAACAGCACAAAGCAACAACATTCTAAGAAGCCGGAGAACGTTTATACACAGAATCAACTGGGTATGGTTAGCAGGGAGGGGAGCTGGTGGGGAGAGGAGGAGAAAAGGAATAGAGGATAAACACTTCTTCAGGGAGTGAAGGGAGAGATCGCATGGAATGAACAGATGATCAGACATCGTGTGTACTGTCATTAGTGCAGTGGATCAAAGTGGGATGGAATGAGTACGGAATGAGGGTTGCAGAGTGGATTATATTTGGGGTGAGGGTGGGGTTGGGCGGTGTGCGGGGGGGGGGGATTGTGTACCAATGAAGGAGTTTTTCTTTTGCTTTTCAAGGAGAGGAGCAAATGGGGGGGGTTGGAGGGGGGACGGGGAGAAAAGTGCAACAAAGAATGAATGGAATTCCCAAATCTCTGTAGATGTTCATTGAAATGAAAAATAAATAAATTAATTTTAAAAAAGAAATAAAAAAAAATGGGATGGAATGATTGAAAACTCAGTATGCTCTGTAAACTTGCACTCAGATCACAATTCAAAATGAAAAGGAATCCGGAGGCTGGTACTTGATGGAGGGTCATTATGAGTTGAAATGACCAGGGTTTGGTTTGTGGGGTCTCTCGAGTGTTTTAAAACTTTCTGAATACCTTTCTCACCGATTGTCTTTGGACTCTTACCCAACAGTCTGCCTACTTTTTTTTTTTTTCTGTTGCAAAATGAATGATGGATTTGAATCATTCACCTTTTAATTGAGGGTTCTGTGGCCTAGTGATAAGAATCTGTGCTGCAATCCTGTAGGCACACGGTTCGAATCCATGAGCTGATCCGCAGGAGGAGGATAGGAAGTCTCCTCCCATGCAAACTGACTGCTTCTGAAAACCTGCCGAAGGGTCCTCTATGTTCAGATCCAACTCAATGCTTCACAACAGCCACCACCTTTTTATTAGAAACACAACATGCAGTGAACACCACCAGAGTGCCTTATAGTTAAAAGGGGGTGGTGGTGGCATAGAATAAATGTGATTGAGAATCCTGGTATTACTATTATTCTTTAAATGTCCCTGCTAAAGAAAAGTAAGAGATGGTTTTGCCTGGAGAGAGTCCTTTCATGAGACCATCATCAGCCCAGCACAGAGCATACCACTGCCTGGTCTTTAATTAGAGGAAACTGTTTTGAATGCCACTTTCAGTTCTGAAAATCACAGGGCCCACTAATGGGAACAGTTAGCTGAGCAGTGTGAAGGTGCGATGTGTTTGTGTTAGAAGTGTCAGAACAGAAAACACTTTGCGCTTTCTGAGGGTTTTGTCATTCAAAGTTAGGTAAGGTGTTAACATTTTCAAGGAACAGGAGAGAGAAAAAATGAAGATGCTTAATGTTTGGCAGATCCATATAATCAGATGACTTTAGGAGATGAGGATGTGTGCAATGGTCTCTTTCTTCTATAAAATATAAATTTATACTGCTTCCACAATGACCATTCGTCTCTTCCCAAGGAAGAATGGGATTCTAATCTATGTCACATTGTCATATATGTGCCTATCGTTCCAACCCTCTACCCAAAGGGATTCTGACTCACAGGGTGGCGGACAGGGTTTCTGAGACTGAAAATCTTTATTTCCCCTGCAGATCAGGTAGTGGATTTGATCCATCAACCTTTCAGTTATAAGCCTAACGTGTCCTGGGCTGTATCACCAGGATTCTTTACAAAGGGGGGAAAAAATAGAAGGGGAAAAAAAAATAAAGGATATATTTATATATTAACAACATCTTTAAGAATAAAATATTATAGAAAATCTAATTGTGTCATTAATTTTTATTATTTTTCACTTTTCTTCCCCCTTTTAAAAACAGGGTCATTTTGGAATTCTGCTTCCTTCAATACTGAAGCCTCCTACCTTCATTTCCCTACATTCCACGGAGAGCTCAGCGCCGACGTGTCTTTCTTTTTTAAGACAACAGCTTCATCTGGAGTGTTTTTGGAGAACCTGGGGATTACTGACTTTATACGCATCGAGCTACGCTGTGAGTCTCCCTTTTCAGAAATTTACCAGCACTAACTTTAAAGCACTTACGTCTCTACTTCACCTGCTGGATCTTCTTACTGTATCCTCTTTTTAAAATGGTCAAAATTTTCAATGAGCCTTTTTAATAAGAAAACAAGTTTATATTTATAGAAAAGCAAACCTAACTTCTTGCCATAGAACAAGAATTGACTCATAGCTGATCCAGTGGGTTTTCAGAGGCTATAAACAAATGTTGTTGTTGTTGTTGTTGTTGTTGTTGTTGTTTTTAGGTGCCATCAATTCAGGTACCGCTCATAGCGACCATCTGTCATGCACGGGGTCTCTATGAGGGAAAGTTGACTAGATGGCACCAAAGAAGGGTATTGAGATTCATGCTATGGAACAAAAGGTGTATGGATGCTTGAATTTGCTTTGACAACTTTCATTTAAGAAAGAAAAATAAGTTAAAGTTACCCCAGATAGATTAGTATGTTTTGCTGATATTTCTGTCATAATAAGCCTTAATAAGTAAACAAGTAAAAAAGGACATTTAAAAAAATCAAAAGGGATTATAATTCAACTAGTTTAGGAAATAAAAGAAGGCCCCTAAATCTTCAGTTAACTGCCAAATGACTTAATTAAAAACCAGCCAGTCATCCCATTTTCATAGAGTCACAGACTGCTACTAATAGAGCTGTAGCCATGCTTTAAAATGACAAAAGATTTGAGTCATTGTATACAAGTTATTTTTTAAGTTTTGAGCAAAAGTTCACTATTTAGTGATAATAAAAAATGGATCTGGAAGATGAAGTTGTTTTCCCCCCTGAAAGGAGAGGGGATGAACTGTCCCGGCATCAGAGGGTAGGATGCCACAGGTTCCCTCCATCTGATGGTGCCTTTCCATTTGGGAGGGGTGGTTATACTGTGGTGCAGCGTCTCACAGCTCAAGTCCCAACCCCGTGCACTAACTTCAGCGACCTCCATGTCTGATGTGCCCAGCTCCGGCAGAAGTGACCTTTTCCTTTGACGTGGGGAACGGGCCTTTGGAAATCTCGGTGCAGTCGCCCACACGTTTCAACGACAACCAGTGGCACCACGTTCGAGTCGAAAGGAACGTGAAGGAGGCGTCCATCCAGGTGGATCGGCTCCTGCAGAGGACCCAGCCAGCCCCAGCTGACGGGCACGCACTGCTGCAGCTCAACAGCCAGCTCTTCGTGGGTAAGCTCCGCTGGGGGGAGGCCTGTTGGGTCCTTGGCTGGTGTAGGTGTCAAGATGGGTCGGGAGAGGGTGGGCCAACCAGAAAAAAGCACAATGACAACCGCAGCTCCGAGTCAGGAAGATCACTGTTGCAGGGCTGGCTCCGGGTGTCATTGACTTGGAACCTTCTCTCCAGCTGTGCCATTTTTCTTCTTCCTCACCAACCTGTGAAATGGGTGATGCTTTGCACGGAGGTTCTGGGGGGCATCAGAGATCCATCCAGCCAATGAGATCCAAGTCTGGGTTTGGCTTACTTATACCTCGGTGCTGGTAAAATCAGATGATTTGATTTATTTGGGGTTTTGATTTTATTGCTTTGCTTTTAACATCAGTGCTTTTAGCCTGTGAATAGCTGTGTTACTCTATTTGCCTTAGAGATGGAGACCCATCCGTGAACAACTTTGCTCCCAGAGTCCCTCGTAGTGTTGTTTCTGAAAGTCCCTGGTCAACCTACTGCTCATTCTCATCCAAATCGTCACTCCTGTACTCCCTCCTGCCATTCACCCTGCGTTTAGAACCTTGATAACGGGAGTCTTCGGGACTCCTTTCTTTTCTGTTGCATCCTTGCTAAGTACTTTATAGAACTCATGTTTCGTTAGGTGCCTCTGAGCTGACGACACACGCATAGCAACCCTGTGAACAAGAGATGGGAACCATTCCCCGTCCTGTGCCGTCCACACCATCCCTGATATACTCAAAACCGTTGTTACAGTCACCTTGTTGATCCATCTCATTGAGGGTCTTTTTCTCTTCCTCCAGCCCTCTACCTTTTCCAAAGACTGACCCCTCCTGACAACATGCCCAAAGTGACTATCCTTGTTTCCAAGGAGCACCCTGGTTGCACTTTCTCCAAAACAGATCTGTTATTTTGGCAGTACTTGGGACAGTCAGTAGTGTTCACCAACACTGTTATTCAAAGGCATTTATTTTTCTTCTGTCATCTTTATTTACTGTTCAACTTTCAGATGCATAGGAAGCAGTTGAAAAGCCTGTGGCTTGGATCAGGTGCACCTTAGTCTTTAAACTGAAATCATTTCTCTTTAGAACATTGGAGAGTCCTTGACAACAGATTTTCCCAATGTAACACACCTTTTAATTTCTTGATTGTTGTAACCATGATTGTTGATTGTGGATCCAAGTAAAATGAAATTGTTGACAGCTTCAGTCTTTATCATGATATTGCCATTGGTTTAGAACTTATGGATTGTGGAAATTAAGGAATTATTGTTTACCTGGTCATTTCTTGTATGTTTTCATGTAAACAGCATAACAGCACTGTCAAGAACAATGTGTAAAAAAATTTAAAAAAAAAATTAAAAAAAAGAACAATGTGTAAAAAATTACCAGAAGTCAAGATTATATAGCACAAGCTTTTCAGAGATGTCATTGTAGGTAGGTGCCTTTGGGTTGGCTCTGTCTTATAACAACCCTACCTATCATAAAGGGAACCCTGGAGGCTTAGTGGTAAGGAATTGTGCTGCCTCCACAAAGGTATGCAGTTCAAATCCACCAGCTACTCCGTGGGAGAAAGATGGGCAGTCCACTCCAGTGTAGTCTGCTGCCTCTGCAAACTCACTGGAGGGTCAGCTGTCAGTCCATTCTGTGGTACAGTAACATCAACAACATCCAATAGGAAAAATTGCTGCTCAGTCTTGTACCATCCTCACAGTCGGCTGTGATTGAACCCATTGTAACAGCCATTGTGCCCACCTGAACGATACACTAGAACAAAGTGCCTCAAAACCCCATAAGACTCACTCACTCCTGTGACGTCAGTTCTGGCTCAGAGCAATTCTCCCTCAAGCTTCAGAGGCTGAAAATCCCAATGGCAGGAGCCTGTCCCTGTTTCTCTCATGGAGTCGCTGGGGGGATTTGAACTGCCAGCGATGCTCATTCTTTGAGTCTGTAGGACAGCAGCTCGCCACAGTCTATGCCACCAGAGCACCCATCAAATCCCCGTGGATGTTTCCTATTAACACTCTTGTCGTTTTAGCTCCCTCCCACTCCAAAGGTTGAGGCTTATTTGTGACATATTTTACTAAGCCACATTTAAGATTTCTCATGAATTTATATACTCATTCTTTCCCTATCAATTATTCTTTCTTTTGCCCAATAAATATTTAATGAACTGTTTCGACAAGTAGGATCTATACCAGACAATCTTGTCTTCTGGCCCCTAGACAGACTTATCTAAGGATATGGGAATAGCAGAAGAATACATGAACAAATATATATAACTTTCCTTTTAATAACTTGCTGGAGGCTCCCCAGTCAGGAAATTGACATAGATATTTCTTGAATTACAAAAATCGAGAGATGGCCACAACAAAAGGTATGGCAATTTAAAATCTGTCAGTAACTTGGAAATAGCCTTCCTATTCTTGGAAATTGAGAGGGCTGAAACAGTTCTCAAATATGTCAGTGAAATCGGCTGCATTTTGCTTGTAGATGACCTTTCATCCTTGGTAAGAATTTCAGCTTCATAGAGATTGGAGTCACTATATATTGTGGCTGATGAGAGTCCTGTCCGTAATGTGATTTCAGGTGTAGAGGTACCGCTGTGAAATCACTGACTGTGTTAGAAAAGGCTTGAGCCCTTTTTGCTGTCAATTATGTGATATATTTTTAATAAGGCTTGAGGAGATCTCATTATTATTGACGCAATCGGTGAGACCTTTGACATGACCATGTCTATTCTGATTCAAGGCTAGATGTATTTTCTGGAGTCTTTAAAATGGAAAGCTTTATTATATCTACGTCAAGTTCATGGAAAATTCAAAAGAAAGTTAGAAAGCAAAATCTCTGAGGGGAAAAAGAAATGTAAAATTCCCTCCAGGTAACTGGTAATGCATTGACATGGTTTCCCAAAAGATTCAGTCTTGTATTGTGACAGATCATTGGTGCTAAAGAAATCTAATAAGGTGCCTCTTTGTAGTCTTCTCCAGAGCAAGGATGTCAGCTTAAAAACTAAGGTACACTTGATCCAAGTCTTGGTGTTTTCAGTTGCTTCCTTTGCATCCAAAACCTAGACAATTAATAAAGAAGATTAAAGAAGAACTGATGTGTTTGAATTGTGGTGTTATTGAAGAGTACTGAATATCTAGAGGGGGCCTTCACAAGGAAACGGTTTTCTGACATATTAACACATTCAAAAAAAGTAGAAGCGATCATTGTTCCGGGCTGAAAGTCAAGGTTTCCTTGTATGAGAAATAATGTTGTTGTTGTCGTTATGTGCCATCAAGTCGTTTGCGACTCATAGCGACCCTATGTACGACAGCCCTAAACCCTGCTCTATCCTGTGCCAATCGCCTCTGACACACCCATCCCGATTACCCCAGTCACTGAATCAATCCACCTCATAAAAAAAAGTCTTGTTTTAAAATATTCTTGTTTTATTTTTAAAAAAGACATTATGATTTCATTCCCATCCCTCACATATCACCTATTTAAAGCATCTGGATCAATAGCTTTTAATATATTTATGGAATTGCAAAACCATCAACCTCAAACCTACACAACAAATCCCCAGCCCTTAAATTGATTGTGCCTAATAGTGAACCCCCGCTGGGTTTCTGAGGCTGTAAATCTTTGAGAGGAATCACCCATCCTTCTCCCTAGGATTAGGTGAGGCAGCCGAGGGCTTTGAACCCACAACCTCTCAATTAGCAGCCCAACAAACAGTGCATGACACCGTACAATAAATATCGCCATAGTCAGTTTTAAAACACTGTTGTTACCCCACGAAAAAGCCCTCTACTCCTTAGCTGTCATGACCAGTCCTATTACCTCCCTAACCCACATTCTGTTGTTTGAAATTTCTTTTTCACAGAGGCAATATATTAATGATATAAGCAACAGTTTGTTGTTGTTATATGCTGTTGAGTCATTTGCGACTCATAGCGACCTTATGCACAACAGCCGTAAACCCTGCTCTATCCTGTGCCAATCTCATTGCCTCTGACACACCCATCCCGATTACCCCAGTCACTGAATCAGTCCACCTCACAGAGGGTCTTCTCCTCCTGCGCTGTCCCTCTACCCTCCCAAGCATGATGTCCCTCTCCAAGGACCTGTCTCTCCTTACAACATGTCCAAAGTATGTCAGACGAAGCCCCAGAATCCTTGCCTCCAAGGAGTTGCTTGGTTTAACCCTCTCCAGGATGAATCTGTTTGTTTTCTTGGCAGTCCATGGAACATTCAATACTCTTCTCTAGCACCACAACTCAAAGGTGTCAATTCTCCTTCTGTCCTCCCTAGTCATTGTCCAACTCCCTGATGCATAACAAGCGATTGCAAAGATCATGGCCTGTATCAGGCGGACCTTAGTCTCCAGGGAGACACCGTTGCTCTTGAATACTTTAGAGAGGTCCCTTACCGCAGACTTTTCCATCGCAATATGTTTTTTGATTTCCTGGCTGCTGGTGCCAAGAGTGTTGACTGTGGAGCCGAGCAAACTGAAGCTGTGAACAATCTCAATCTCTTCACCATCCATCCTGATGCTACCGATTGGTCCAGTGGTGAGAATCTTTGTCTTCTTGACATTGAGCCTCAGTCCATACTGAAGGCTGCAGTCCTTGACCCTCTGCAGTAAGTGCATGATAAATAATATCTGTGTTAAAAAGCCCGTTGCTGTCGAGTCCCTACCACCTAACAATGACCCTACAGGACGGAGCAGAACTTCCTCACAGGGTTTTGAAAGCTGCAATATTTACAGAAACAACTGCCACATCTGTGGAGCAGCCAGGGATTTGAACTGCCAATCTTTTGGTTAGCAGCCTTCCTTTTAACCACTGCACCGGCACGAATCCTCCAGCTCTACGTTAGTCCAATATAAGACATTTTCTGGTAAAACTTTAGGGCCATGAAATTCCTCTTATTTATGAATTCCAGAGTGATGGAAGCAGAGTTTTGTCTGCAATTTAGCGTTCCATCTTAAGAAGTCATTGCTAATCAATATTTTC